AAAAATGGAATAAGTAACGCCAATTCTGGTTGACTCCTAGCCCATATACAAATAGAACTGCAAATAGTATACTTATATTAAATAAATAAGAAGAATAGAACTAATGACTACCTACATTTCACATGGTATAAAATTGTTATTGTTAGTTCCTTTCATCCTCCACAATTTAAATAAATTTACAATGTTTAAACGAAGATTGTTGTAAGTGCTTTACAACAGATCAGTTCTAAAGTAATCTTACATTAATTTTGAAAATGTGAATTACAAAGTTTCTCAATGAAATGTAATCTATTTTCAACTTTCAAACAAGTAAGCTATAACAAAGTTAACTCGCCGTCTTGATGTAGCCTGATAAAAGAATGCTTCAATGGACATTACACAAGTTCAAAACAAGTTTCTTTGAAACGTATCTGATTTCTAATAGGAGCAATGCAACGAAATGAGACAGTTTTGCATTTTTCTTATTACCTTTTATAAGATAAAAGGAACAATACTGTAACAAAGCTGTCATGTAAACGTAACTATAGTCTGTCATACTGCCGCGCAGAGAAAACGAAAACTTTGAAAAAGTCATTTACACTTGTAAACTTGTATTCAATAGTCACAAATATGCAAACTCCGTCCCACAGTAATAGGGGTATGAAAGGGTCTCCTATAATCGGCTTTTAACTGTTTTAAATGTAAATAGAAAAGAAATGTTATACGTTAAAGAATGTGTATCGGTTTCTTCTTCATTCGTAGAGCTGCCTTCAGCAGTTAACGTTAATAATTAGTGATTCAACGGACATATCTAAGGCGTTGCCCATCCCACGTTTATTTTTTATCACATGTTGAATGCATTTCCACCAGTTTTCCACGGTAATCTAGTACGCGTTTCTAAAAAGCTCTACATATAACGTGCGCAACGTGGAAACACTGTTATTTCTTGCCACTTCTCATTCTCCTAGGACTCAACTCAGACCAACTTAATCGAGTACATTCCAAATTCCACTTTAGCACTGAACTATTATGTTTGTTATCCAATTAGAGGGGGTTATCTTGAAAGGATACATTTTTATCAAGCAACAATTATCTGGTTCTCTTTCTTCTAGAATGTTGTTGGGAATTGTTCCGTTTGTTATTATTTATGCATGGAATTTGCAACGATAATCAACCCTTCCGGAATAATTTTCAGTAAGTATTTGTTCAAAACATTCTTCACATACATCGGCATTCAATGTCCTCGTGGTAGAAGTGCGTTTTTTAGATGCAAAAACGAGCAATCCTTTTCCTGAAGAAATCCCTAATAACTTTATATTTTGTTTTCTGCCCTGTAATTTTGTAAATCTTTCAAGCTTTTTTTTATTTACCACTAAAGACCCATCTGAGTCACGTATCCTGCTCTAACCAAGTACTGTAGATGATACATTGGATTTACTTAAAACCCAGCTTGGCGCAAAAAGTATACAGGGTGTACTAAATTCAAGGGAACCATGGGATCTCGAAAGCGTGAATCAGTATCTAATCTTACGCTGCTTAGAAAGTAAAAAAATTTGAATACTTTCAGAGATACTTGAAAAAAGATTCGCTAATTTTTTTTTTATTTTTGTGACTTCTAAAGAGATTTTTTAAAACAAAGGATATGGTTTCTACACTACGAGCTACTATGATCAGATAGACGTCCGACGTTTGGGTTTAGGGCCATCATCAAGTATAATTTTTTTAATATGGTTCTGAAAAAAAACATAATATCATAATTACTTGGTTCAGCAACTATGCGATACACGTAGGGCCGAATGCACAAAAGTTAATCAAAGCTTAACGGCGCTGTTAACTCATTTGTTTCGATTAAAAAATGACATTTGCTTTGATTAAATTAGTTAATTTAACGGAACTGTTAAACATCGATTAAGCTAAAATTCCTATGCACAAAAAAGAATTAGCATTAACGACGCCGTCAAGTCGGCTTTAATCACGGCAAAATTTAACCGGTGCTCATTGACTGATTAAACTGACAGTTCGTTGATAATGTTCAATTTGATCTTGTGGAACGTATTTTTATAGAATAATTTGACCTATTCTAATAGTTATTCGAGATGTTCCTTATTGTTAATTAGTGTTAAAGTTCTCAGTTTGTGTTCAGTTCATTTTTTAATAGGTACTTACTTTTTCATAAATAAATTTGGAAATAATATGTAAGTGAAAAATTACTTTTTACTTATAAATAACATAATTCCTTACTGTTTATTTAGCCATTTTCATGTTGGACATTTCACTCTCCTCTTTTTCTTCGTCCTCCGATGAAGAGGAAGCCCCCGCCAGGAGAATAAGATTTATAAGGGATAGAAACAATCCTTTTCAAATATACGATGATATCGATTTCAAAATGAGGTACAGGTTTTCGAAGCCAATAGTACAAAATTTGCTTCATATGTTTGGACATTTAATAGAACCGAAAACCAAGAGGAACAAAAGTATTGATGGCCTAACCCAGCTTCTAATAACTCTTCGGTTCTATGCAACTGGAACATATCAAAGAGTTATTGGAGATCATATCAACGTAAATCAGAGTACTGCCTGTCGTGTGATAAATAGAGTCACCAGACATCTTGCTCGTCAAAGGCCAAATTTTATAAACATGCCCAAGAACCAAGACGACATTTTACAAGTCTGTAGAGGCTTTTACAGAATCAGAGGGTTTCCTAAAGTGATTGGAGCTATAGATTGCACACACATCAAGATACAGTCTCCTGGTGGAAATAATGCTGAGCTATATAGAAATAGAAAAGGCTTCTTTTCTATTAATGTGCAAGCCATATGTGATGCCACATTAAAAATCAGGCACATAATAAGTAGATGGCCAGGATCTGTTCATGACAGTACTATTTTCAATGATAGTCCATTAATCCCGGAATTTGAAGCTGACCAATACGGAGCAGGAACTTATTTATTGGGGGACTCTGGATATGCTTGTAAGAAATATCTCTTAACCCCTTTCTTGAATCCCCGAACGCCCGCAGAAGAACGATACAACAGGTCACATGTGGCAACAAGGAATACGATCGAAAGAACATTCGGTGTGTTAAAAAGAAGGTTTCCTTGTCTCTTTTTAGGCTTGAGAAATACTGTTCACGTATGTTTGATGATAATAGTTGCATGCGCGGTCTTACACAATATTGCCATTGATTCAAATGACCATTTAAACGAATTTTTTGAAAATCAAGGCAGAGCTGAAGACATACCGATCGCAGAAGGTTACCGGAATGAAAATACATCCATTAGAACTGCTCTAGTTAATACTACTTTCAGTTAATAAATTTGTTCTGTCCGTTTATTTGTTCATTTACTTCCTTAAAAAAGGAACACAGAAGTTAAACAGCTGAATCCAGCACCTAACTGCGAAGTCATCTTAAACTTCAGCGAAATACTTTTTTGCTGATTTTCGACTTCGTCAGGTATATAGGTACTGACATTAATAGGAGGCAATCCCAAAAGAGCTTGCAGAAAAATAACATTTTATTATGTGGTTTTGTTTATGAATATTTCAATTCTTTCGTTTAACTATGCACCTTTTCTTTTGTAATTCTTAAAGTGTTTCGACCCTGCATTCTCAGCAAGTGTGTTTCTTCAAAGACTTTATTTAACTATGAGTAGGTACCTAAGTACATTTTTAGTAACGACGATGCCATCAGACAGATCAGAGTTATTATATTTACGGGGATTAGCATGACCATGACCAACCAATGTATAAAAATACAGTCAATATTATCAACACCATTTTATTTGAATAGAAAATATGTTCATTTACTTAATTGATTCATGAAAATGCGTTTTTTAAAATTTTTCTCCATTAGGAGAGTGCTGTATTCCAGCCTAGCATTCTTCAACTTTTGAAGGTAGTAATTTTTTTTAATTTGTTGAATGGACATCTTAGTTTTAGGTCGCCGTTTTGCAGCAATTATTCCACCTTTTGGCGCAGGTTGGCGATCAGCTATGGAAGAAAAGGAACAGGATGGTATACTTTGGTCCACCACTTCAGGGATGATTGCTGGGGGAGAAGGTTCTAATAGCAATATTGCCTCGTCATCTTTAAAACAATGTTTTTTATTAAGTAAATGCAAACTTTGATTTGTACCGTGATAAGAGCTGGCACTATCAAATGGATTTGGTAAAGGCTTTACCGTATCACCCATTATCGATAGCACCAGACTCATTGAGTCGTTGGTGGTGCTTTCGCAGCTTCCTCCTCCAGTTTTCTTTCTTCCTTCCTTGGAAATAAGAATAAAACAGACAATTAAAAATGACGGAATCCTTTCATGATTAAATTACCTTTTCACATTTTGCGGCATATAAAGCTTCTTCTGGAAGCTTTTCTATATCGTCTTGTGACATTTCTCCATCGAAAGCTTTTTTTAATTGCTCTCGGTACCTTTCTTTCTAGAATCGTACCGATAATAGCTATGTTTATAACCACAAACGACGTATATTACTTACATTACTCGATGCCTCCGCTTTTCTCGCATTCCGCTTTATGTTATCATAAAAATGCTTTAATTGCTTGGTGGTTCTTTTGCTGATACATTCGGAGTTAAAATCTTCTGTAACGCACTTCCAAGCTTGCTGTTTCTGCAGAAGGATCTGGGCGCTCGTCACTCTCGATTCTAGTATATGTTTCTTACTAAATTGGAAAAACATGAGTATTCGGAGAAACTTTATCATTGTAATTATTGTGGCAGCTAAAATGATACCTATAACAACTCAAAATTCAACCGGAACTTTTATCGAATTCAGGACAATCACTAAGTTACTACGAGTATAATAACAATGTAAATTTGCTTACGATTCAATTATTTGGAGTAAATGTTCTCTTTCCACTTCGGTAAAGTTTTTTCCCCGTATCTTCTTTTCCATTATTAACCCAATAATATAAATTGATTATTAGATGACAGATAACAAAAAAGAAAAGCGTTCCACTAAAGTAGGCTTTGTAAAAAAAATCACACATTTCCATAAAAGTACAACGTTGCCGGCGCCAATTCTTACAAAATATTTAATCAATGCTTAATCACCTTGGTTAGTTAATCAAGGAGTGTTTTTGTTTTGTGCATACCAATCTAATTTAATCAAAGGTTTAATTTAATCATACCGATTAACTAACGGCCTGATTATTTATTGTTTGTGCATTCGGCCCGTAGTTTTTTGTTGGAATGACGAGCTCATTGAAAATATAAAATAGAAATGGCAAGTCCGAAATTTAAAAAAATGATAATGGTCCCAAAAACAACAAAAGAATGGATTCTTGCCTCTTTAGTTAGGTTCGTGACTCCGAACATTTATTACATGCGGCACATGTTTACCTGCTCATTCAATTTATGTAAAAGAAGGTAAATCACCTTTCTGTTACCAAATTTGTTCCTCTCAAGCCATTTGAAAACTAAGACATATTACATGAATAGTTTTGGTTAACTTTTTTGTAGCACATGTTAAATTGACATTTTAATAGGTTTGAATGAGTAGGATAAGCCGTTCTTTAACCGTAAGGATAGATAAAGTGATCACTTTAACCGTAAGGGTAGATAAAATTAAATAAATGATTGTGCATTCTAATGACATCTGTCATTCTTATTTCAAATGCACGATATAAAATGACATTCAGAACATATAACAATTCTGTTTCTATGGAAACGATCGCTACGGCAGAACCTAAGCTTGCTATTTTTGACGTCTCTAAATTAAATTCAGAATTGTCAGAACAATGCTTTATTATTGCTTCTGCTATAAAATAAAGGTTTGTATTATCCACGACGATAAATGGAAACTAACCATCTCGTGAAAGTTAATTCATTCGTGGCTGTGCCACTCGTGAATTAACACATTTCACTCAATGATTAAAATATCCCTTTATCGTCTTGTAATAATAAATAACTATTAGCTGCTTTAATAACAAGAGGTTACTATCATGTTTCAAAAAAGCAACAAGCTCACTCACTTAGGCTATTTGCACACACACCGATTTTGGATGGTCGGCAAAAAATCGGCCGATATTTTATCGATAGCAGGTGCTTGCAGACATAACGGATTTTTACCGGTCAAACAATCAATTGCTTTGTTGTCGTGTCACGAGGTGATTGAATAATAATGAAACCTAGACGAGTTGTTGCTATGTGGTTATTGTATCGCCGCATAAAGCACCGTAGGATTAAGCGCAAGTGCTGGATTCATCCTATCAATCAAAGCAGAGAACGCACGGGAACATTCTACACTCTTTTTGAAGAACTAAGGCTTGATGACAGTAAATTTTTCAACTTCTTCAGAATGTCAATTGCATCCTTTGACGAGCTCCATGAGAAGTTGAAAAATGAAATCCAACACCAGAACACTAAAATGAGAAACTCTATTCCTTCACGAGAAAGGCTTGCTTTAACATTGAGGTAAGTATAAAATACGTATGTATATACACAATGCACTAAATTATTTAAAAAAAATATGAATATACCTATGTCCAAATTTGGTTCCAATCGCTTCAGCCGTTTAGCCGAAAATGAGAGTACAGACGGACTGACAGACCGACATCTTTGAGATTTTGTTTAATTCGGATTCCTGGTACTTAAAAACGTGTATTCCCGTAAAAAAAAGTGGGGTGTCATTTTTTACTCCAATGCAAAGTATAGTATTATATGGTAACAGAGCACTCGGCTGGAATTAAAGATGGCGATTGCAAGAACTGCTGAGGACGGTCGGTAAACAATCGGTGCATGTGCAAGCGTGTATTTAGTCACGTAGGTCACTGTGTCGCCGGTGCTTCTCCGGCATCGGCGATATACAGTGGCAGTGGCCGGCTGCTCGCCGGCATTTTACCGGCACCGATCAGAGGCCGGCGTATGTGCCAGGTCCCGTTCCCCTCCGTGGTTCACTATTGGAATTTGGACGACCGGTAAAAAATCGGCCGTCCAAAATCGGTGTGTGTGCAAATAGCCTTATCGTCTACGAACTCCAAGCGGTTAATAACATACACTACTATCGGAGTAAAATGTAGAGTCCGCTCACTTTGAAGGCTCAAATCTCAAAATCGCTGGAGCCGATATTAATGAAATTTTTGGAACGTATCAATTGGTAAGTTGTTGTTAACATACGTAAATTATAAATTTTTGCTGCCAGGACTTTTTACGTTATCGAATTTTCCTCACAAAAAAGTACTCTAAAATGCGTGATTTGTCGCGATGCTCAACTGTACAGGTCCATAAATAGTTTATTTTTCCACGAAAATTCATACATTTCGGGTATTACATAACCCAATTCTTGCTGTAGCTATTGTAGAAAAAATTATGGAAATATCTTGTTCCCTTTTTACGTAATTAGCGGAAAAGCAAAAACATTGCAACGCAGCTATTATTGAAGGAAACGACTTCATTCTTTTTTTATAAGATGAATAAAATAGCAAACGTCATAAATGCGTACATATTGTCTGAAAACAACTTGTGGATGTTTGTTTTTGTGTAAATTAGCCAATACTCTACGTACGAAACAAGATGAATAATAACCCGCGGGTTTCATGTGTGATGTGCGGCAAACATAATAACAATTTCATGCATATATTACTTAACCGTGTACTTAGCGTGTGTGCCGCTTTATACGAAACATTGCTGCAAGGTACAACTTTGCGATTAAATGACCTTCCCCTCAACACCGCTCGAGGTGTTGCGTTTATCTCTTTCGCTCAATTAATTCCTGCAGCCCTTCACATTTTTTTGTCATTGATTCTATTCCGTGATCATATCATTTGTAATTGTCCTTTATCGATATGAACAAAACTTTTTAAAGTGTATCTTATAATAAGCGAATAAACGCGCCTGTCATTTTATCGCTGTAACGTTTGCGTAATTATACAGAAATGCATAAAAATGTATCGACGTATAGTTAAAGGTGTATTCTATCACATACGTAAACATTATCCCATTTGAGTGAATACTTTTTTTGTAATTAAATCCTAAAGTTCTGAGTTCGTATACTTTCATTGAAAAAGCGCGCTTTCCCGTACATATTTCACTATCACATTTTCCCAAATTTAATAAGAAATATGACATTACGTACGGATACGTAGAAATAGTTGACGATTATATTACGCTTTATTTGATAAAAATCGGTTAGGTAGTTTTTTTTATAACCGTTTAAAGCCAGCGGACTCTACATTTTACTCCGATTAGTAAGGATTAGGAACAAAAAGAAAGAATGAGATCATTGTTTACCTTTCCACACAAAAAATAGGCATTTCGTTAGACAGGTATTAAATAAATTTCCTTTAACTATCGATTTCAACCTTTTTAGAGAGAGCATCACTACAAGCGTGCGAAGAAAGAATACCTTGTCAGCTGTACTTAACCCTAAATCAATAAATAACTTACCCTTGTTGGAGTAAATTGACCTGCACACTATGGGAGAGGTAGACGGCTCATTAACAGGATATTGGCAAGCCCGTAAATTTTTATTTGTGACGTGCAGGCATCGCTCCTTCCTACGAGTTTAATGGAATCAATCTCCCTGATTATCAATACAAGAATGTGACATAAGATCAATACATTTTCCATTTCTTTGCACTGTGTTAATGTTTGACTATAATTTTAGGGTACATCTACTTTTTCTTCGTAAAAGAAAGTACATATTAGCGTTAATTCCAAATTATTTTTGCAGTAGTCGCTTAATGTTAAAGGGTGATGACAACAATTTGTTGTTTGGCGTAATCTACAATATAAATAACCACATCCTAACTATGTATTAACACAGCTTATTAAATTACCAACAAGCAATACCTTAATTAAATCCTATAATAACATGCTTAGTTTTCGTGTGTGCAATTAGGGCTAGGTCGCCATCTGAAACTTGATCGTAAATCTAAGATCGGGTTCTTAAGCTTGTTCGAAAGGTAAAACTTTAGCCGTCATTATTTCTGTAACTTGAGGCATGCACTCTGACTGTGTTTAATCATAAGTAACATATAGGCTTGAATTTCTCTTTTTTAAATTCACCAAAAAAACACGGCACTGCAATGCGAGGTTTTAAAACGAATATACTGTTATGTAAACTACGCCTTGTAGACGTTATTTCGGTCCGAACACCAAAAACAATGACGAGACATCCTTATGAAAAATATGTTTTAATTTTTTAAGTGCAAATCCGGTGGGTTTCTTTACAATTAAACATAGAGTTGGTTTATTTTACTTAAATTGGTATTTCCGTATTTGTTTTTCCTTTTAGAAATTTATTATTGTTTAATTTAGATAAGATGTTTTAATGCAGACACACCTCGTCAAGTTTGCGTACTTTATACAAGATTACATCTGGTCGTTTGCGATAAAGAGTTTTATTATCAGATGAAATTTAATTAAAACACGTGTTCTGGGGCTGATAAGGAGGTGCAGATTTTATAAAGAATGCGCGTTTCATTTCAACAAGTGGAAACATTTTTGCGCGTGTATTGAAAAATTCATTATGAATGAGTTTATTATATGGTGGAAGTTGTGTGTCGTTGTGTACCGGAGACAACGAGTAAACGAGGATGCTGCCGCTGTTTGTTTTCGCGACGATTGGAAACCGTCTACATCTGTTTGTTTTGTTAAAGACGCAGTTCGCCATTTTTTATTATAAATCTATGCAGAAGCAAGTTCACCAAAGTTGTGTGAGAAGATAAACTTGCCTAGTCCGATTACGGAAAAAGTTCTGCCGAGTTGAAAAAAGAAGCAGTGTAGCAGCGAGGTTTTTGGTTCAAATTCTCTTCTTATTAAAAGTTAAAACTTCCTACCGTCTGAACAGCCACCGAAAATTTGTTCATCTTATACAAACGAGTTTTCTTTCTCTTCTTTGTTATAAAGCAAAAGTGTTCACAAGCTGTTAGCGCTTGTGTGAGTTTAGTGCACCATATATCGCAAGTCTTGTACGACCAGATTATTTGGATTGTTATAAATAGTGTAAGTAAGTCATTTTCAGATTTTTATTGTATTTGTCGACCACCTGTGTTCATCAAAATTTATTTAATAAATTCTTTGGAATTTTCGGAAGTTAATCGAGGCAATCCAGTCTCGCTTTTCACCCCCTCAAGCACTCCAGCAACGATCAGCAACGGTCTTTAAGTCAAAAATAGTATGGCGCCTAAAGTATTGTAAAAACTGTCATAAAAGACTGGTTGTCGGCGATAAGAAACAAAAACACATTCTTTCCAGGAAATATGTCGTGT